GCATCACCACATCAATCATTCCTCTCTTAGATCATTTAAATTAGCATATAAACATGCTGTTATTTAGCACATTAAAAAACAATTCTCTTCATCACATTGTCCTTCCAGCTACTACTGTCTGTGTCTCCCTTACAGGAAAAGTCCTTGAAAAAGTTACCTATAATTGTCTCTAGTCCCCCAGCTTATGCTCATAAGAATACACCCTAATTGTGCTGTGGCTCCCACATTCAGATACTGGTCTCATCAACAACAGTGAAATGTTGATGTCAAATCTAATGTTAATTTTTATTTGTCATCATTCATAGCACATTAGCTGAATATGACACTACTGATAATCCCTTTTCCTTTACTTTTTAAATTTAACTTACTCTGTACGAAACTCCTGATTTCTCTCCTACACACCTGGGCATCAGGTGGCAAGAGCATGGGCCTTGAACTAGAGAGATGAAAATACACAAGTTAGTTCTGCCATTTAATGGCTTCTTGCTTTGGGGCAAGGCCTTACAGCTCTGAGCCTCAGGTTTCTTATCTATATAATGGGTATAAAGACGATGGTTTTCAGGGTGTCATAAAACTTCAACATGGTATAATCTAAGGAAGGTTCCTGAACCAGTCACTCTCTTGCTTTATATTCTTCATAGCACTTCCCACTATTTTAAAACAATGTTCATTTTTTTGTTTACCTGTTCATTGTCTGTCTCCCTATCTGGAAAAGAAATTACAAGAGGATAGTGACTTTTCTCTGACATAGGACAGTGCGAGGCACAGTGATTGCTCAATACATATTTGTAGAACAGGTGAATATATGGTAACTATTAGGCAAGTTAGTGTCCTTCCTGATGTCTTATATGTGTGGGTTCAGTATTAACTAGCTAGTGCTTTGTAGGTTTACTGTGATTCTTTGGGATAGCAAGACTTTTGTGGGTAAAATATTGAAATGCAATTCATGCCTGAATGCTCATTATAGGCTCTAAAGGATATAGTTAGAAAATAGACTATATAATCTTGGGTGGTGAACACACAATACAATATACAAGATGATGCGTTATAGAATTGTACACCTGAAACCTATATACTGTTATTAACCAATGTCACCCCAATAAATTCAATAAAATAAAATAAAAATCTATATATCTATTATAAGCCATTAAAATATAAGTTAATACTAACATCTAAAATAGTAAAAGAAAAAGAAAGGCTAAAGAGAAGATATAAAAAATTAAAAAAAGATAAAAGATATTCATCTTAAAGATAAAAGATAAAAGATATTCATCTTAAGGGATGGATCTCTATATATTAGTTAACTGTCATTTCTTCTTCCTTTTTAAAGTTTTTGTCCATTTCCTCTTTAGCTATGTTATTTATCTCATCTTCTGGAGTTTTCCAAACAAATAACATTGCAATACTAGTGATTCTACATATAAATATCCTTAAACCATGTGAGTTCCTTCATGATTATGAGATAGAAAATGTTTACACTATTCCTAGATTGAAGTAAATTATCTCTTAAAAATTATTTTTACTTCATCTGTAGTATAAACTGTACAAGTCACTGTGAGAAGCCCATCTTGTAGTAATATATATATATGTTATAAAATATACATATCTTATAACACAAAATCCAGAAATATAGAATTTTCTGACTCAAGGTTCCTTACTTATTACTCAAGAAACAGCTTTAGCATGAATAAATGTGCAAGAATGCAAAATATGCAACTGAAGAGAAATCTCTTTATACAACAATAGAACCAAACAAGCTCCTGTGGATTTAGAGGTTCAAAGCTAAGTCTTTATCAAAAGGCATTCTTTGGATAAAATGGCTGTTACATTTCCTTTGGCCTTTAAGAAATTCCTCAAAATAATCTTCCAGCTGTTCGAAATAGCTAACTCTAGTGATACTGGCTGCGTCTCTGATCAGCACCTAAGGGAGCATGAATTATGGAAAGGAAACAAAACAACCCTGATTTTGTGCCCATAAAAATTAGTTATTTTTGAAACCCAACTTAATTTTTCATTTTGGCTGATTTTTCTAACCTCACATTCTGCTAGTGTTTTACTGCCCAAGTACAAACTTTTAGACTCTATTAAAACTATCTAAGCAATAGGTGGTACTAGCTGATCTCAATTCATTAGTCACAATCATAAGAGAAAGAAAGGTAGAAAATGCCAAGGGAGATTTTGGTTATTCTCTTAAAAAAGTAGGAAGTGGTATACAAGGAATTTTTCTTGCCATAACCCTAAATTAGCAGTAATTTTTATGTCATAATTTTGTATATTTAGGAGTAGGCCAGTTTTAAGAAGCAGTATGTCAGGACTGAACTTTCTAGATAAGGCAACTGTTGAAATTTGTAAAAGTGGATGGGAAATGTAGACTTCATAGTGCTAAACTGATGATTTCCAAAGAGAGTGCCCACATTCTTTAAAGTGGAAATAGAAGAGTTGTCAGTAATTCTCATAGCCAAGATGACTATTATTGGCATACAACCTGGAAATGAATGGTTAATAGCAGCTACTGGAGCCAGCTGGAATGTGCTTGTGTTACTACTGAGGTTGAGTTGGGAAGACTTTTCTAAAATTCCTACCCTGCATTCAGTCTTTGCTACATTTAGAAACCTTGATATGTAGATAACCTACATGTAGATCAAAAACTAAAAAATACATTTCCGAAGTATACTGAATATAAGAACCATCAAAAGAAGAGTTCTTAATTTATTAATCCAACACTTATACCAGTTCTCCTTTTATATAAGCACTAGGTGCTGAGAGGCATGAGAATCTATGAGATAAACAAGATTTTAATCTCTTATAGGGTTGAGTCCAAGTCCAAAAACATTTATTAATACAAAAAAAGCCTCTAACTTGGGAAAAACTTTGTTAATGTTTTTCTATTTTTAATAACATGTTATTTTTAAATGATCAGCTTACTGCATTTGAGTAATCCCTTGTATGAAAATTTGATTATGAACACCAATTATCACAATGACAATCTACTTAGCTTTTTCCAGAAATTTATCAAAGGACATAAAATTCCATAAATCTGTAAGTCTTTTTTGGCCATCCAGTGATCTTTTTTTCTTTCTTTTTGGCCATCCAGTGATCTTAAATATAGCATGTGGTCTTCTTCGACTCCATTCAGTTTTAACTATTGAAACTCATATAATCAGTTAGTCAAATATCAGCTTGATGTTTCAGTAAACTATAAAGTTCATCCTGGTGGGTAAGTGCCTCAGGAAAGAACCAGTTATGTCTAGGGTCTGCAAAATAGGATTAAGCATCAAGGTTCTATTCAGCATAGGTTTGACTCATGAGCTGAACCATGCACTAATTTTCGACCTTGACAAGTTTCTCAGTTTCTCAGCACCTCAATAACCTCATACATAGTAAAGAGAATGAAAATAATTCCCACCTCACAGGGTGGTGGTAAAGATGAAATGACATAATTCACACACAATCCTTACACCAGTGCTTTGCTCCTAATAAAACCAGTTACTGATTATTAACTACTATTAAACTTTCTTCACAAGTCTGATTTATTTTATATTGTTCATCTTATCAATGCAATATTCCTGTTATTCACTAATTGTAGAATCAGATAACATTGCCATTTTTTCTTTAATATCTTTATTTTCAAACTTTCTATATATCTTTTATTGTTTAGTGTTAATATTTGTTTTCTGTTATTTTCTTAAGATAATTTTAAATACACTTTAAAATAAACAAATCTAGCATGTGCAATATGAAGGGTTATGAAAAATCCATATAATTAAATAATTAACATGCTTATGAGAAGAGAGAGCATTTCCACAATCTGGAAAAGTTTCCTCTCTTATCCATTTCCAGTCAGTCCTCCCTTGACCACAGAAAGGCAATGTTCTGAATTTTTTTAACCATAGATTAGTTTTATCTGTTCTAGAAATTCCATACGACTATAAAAACTCAAAAATAGTATGTTAATTCATGATATAAATTCCAAACAAATACCAACATATAAAAATGTGTAATAGGTATGCTAATTCCACTTACACTTGACATCAAATTAGATTTTATTATTGATATTTAATTTAAGTTGAAAATAAGTTGTCTTAAAGATCAGAGTATTTTAAAACCACCATTATAGTTTTTTACCTGCCAAGTCCAGAATAGAGGAGTCTACATTCCTCCCGTTATTTAAGGTATTAAAGAAGCCAAGAGTACATCATAGAAAAGAGAACAAAAGAAATCTTTGAGCATGAAACTTGGCACTCTGTCTTCTCTCTCATATATATATATACATATATGTATTGTACATACATATACACAAGATGATTAAATATAACTTATATGAACTTAGCTTTTATATTAATTTAAATATTAAANCTTCTCTCTCATATATATATATATATATATATACATATATGTATTGTACATACATATACACAAGATGATTAAATATAACTTATATGAACTTAGCTTTTATATTAATTTAAATATTAAAAACCAATTAGCTTAACAGATTTCATTTCTGAAACAGTTTTTTGATCCTTTTAAGCCTTTCATACCACCTTTTTAAAATAATAAAATATGTATATGCTTCAGATGTTAAAGGTATTTTAGTGTGTTAAAAATTTTTTTGAAGATATCTTACTGTGTTTTTTTAAAAAAAATTCCTCTAGGAATAAACTAATTAGTAGCAGCTACATTAAATAATGGTGTGGGTTTTTGGGGTCTGTTTTGGGGTATTGATTTGTTTTAATACAAAACTGTTACAACTTGCAGACCAAAATTTCCTAATTATACCCATAAGTAGTTGATCATTGTAAATAACTGAATGAAAAGTGTATCTACACGTACAGTTTGGGCACCTACTTTCCTCACAAAATAATAAATAATTGGCCTTTGTGTTCTATATTTTTTATTAACTGAAGCCAACACTATAAATATGTCAGTGAAGTCAGCATTCATTTCTAAATAAAAGAAATACAGTAATCAAAAAGACAATCTGAAGACATTTACATCCTTACCTTTGTAGGTTAGCTTGAGCCGTGGAATATTTTGCTTAGAAGTTCCAATGACCGGAAGAAACAGCATGGTCATGCTTAGCATCATCAAGGCATGAAAAAGGTAAAAATAGTAGCTTTTGGACTTTGGTCTCTCATCTTTATTAGCATTCATGATGAAAACAATGTTCTCTTTGAAACAGTGGAAACAATCTAAAAATAAGAAAAGAACTGTTAACAAAGCAGTTTGCAGACTTTCCAAGACTTACTATTATAAATTTATGAATGTAAATAGATTTTAAAAAAATAACTGCTCCTTCTCTCTTGTTTTGCTCTTGCAAATTGTCTCCAGGAAAATGATTCAAAAATGAGAATGAAATCAAGTCTGGCTTTACTCAGTTGTGGAAATGAATGCATAACTTAAAATCAACAATTTATGTTAATTAGCATATCTTCTACTAAATTTTTTATGCGAATGTAGGAGGAACCCATTCTTTCCGTAACTTGAATTCCTTGATCAGATAAAACCACAGGTAGAAGCGTACTCTTTCCCCATATCATCCCCAAAGGAAAAGATCCCCAAGCAAAAACGAATAAAAGCTGTTGTTTTGAGGGAGTTCTTTTGCTTCTGACTTAAAAGATATTTTAAGTGTCTACCTAAAATTGGGAAAATTGGACATGATCAGGTCAGGGCCACCAGTACAATTTTAGGCCTGGGACAATGCAGTCTTACTTGCACCTATACTATTCTACATAGGACAACACTATGAATAGAAAAACAAACTGTAAAATAAAGGGTTTATGGGAGGAAGGAGGTGGTTATTAGGTTGCCATAAAGAAGCTGCCTTGGTTGTCTTTGTTAAGATACGAACGAGATCAAAACTCACATATTTCAAAATAACCCTAATAACAGTCATTACAAATAACATTCAGTGAGCATTTATATATACTAGATAGTTTTTAAAGTGTCTTACATAAATTAAATGACTTAATCCTATTACATTAATTAAAGAAGGAAGCCATTAGACCAATGTGGCTCAAAGGCCGTGATGGCCTACCTAAGCAAACTGAAATCTAAGCCTATGAATGACTAAAAGTTATGAACTCAAAATGCTAAGGACGACCAATCACAAAGAGCCAACTAAGCTTTAAGCTATAGCTAATCAAATTAATTTCCTTTCTTTGCTTCTGCACTTTCTTTATATAAGTCTTTTCCCTGACTCCTGATGGTGGAGTGCTCCTAACCATTTCTGGTTTGGCACTGCCCATTTCAAATTGATTTTTGCTCAAATAAACTTTTAAGAATTTTAATAAGCCTCCCTTTGTTTTATTGTTTTTATCGATGCCAATGACAGCCAAGAAAGATGGGTAATTATTTCACAGATGAGGAAACTAAGGTAGGATTTATATAGTTCTCTCAAGGTCACACAGGGAATAAGAGATGTATTAAACATTTGTTCTGGGCTTTAGCTAAAGTTGGCCTTCTAAATCCCTAAGTCTTTGGGTGCTTTTCACTATGGCAGACTCAAGTGATCTTCATCTCTTGATGCAGTCCTTCAACTTCCCTTCCTTCTCCACAAAGCTACTGCTATCTTCCTAAGAAATCACCCACAGAAAGGATCTTGCCATTGCCACAAAACAGAGTCACTTTATCTGGATTAATTTTAAGTTATGTGTTTTTGAATTACTCAGACACTTAAAACATACGTCCTTGTAACTTTTCAATTAGACACTTACATAGTAAAATAGATGCATTCTTTGACTTCCTGATTCTCCTTCAAAACTTCCTGCTTATATACATGTAAGAATATGTGTGTGCGTGTGCTTATATATATATGTGTATATATATATATATATACATGCATATATATATTTAATAGTCATTAAAACCACAGCTAAACCTCATTTAGTAAGGTGAAAATAAAGATAAGATTCTTTTCTGAAAAGAGGGGTTGGTTATATACAAATAATTAAATTACCATGAAATAATTCCTAAAATTGAGATATTTCTGGAATTTTAGGGAAGACAGCTCAAAGAAACAGCACATAGGTTTAAGGAAGATTAGTTTCATGGAGGACAGATAAAGGAGAATGGGAAGCAAAAAAGAGGCAGTTCAAGAAAATAGTGAAACCTACTTAAGGGTTCCTGAAAAGCCAGAAGCATGATAGACTTGGTTAGATTGCTGAGGAGAAGGCAGAGACGGCAGTGTAATCCAGTAAGGTGGAAAAGAGAAGACACCAAAGAAGAACTTGACCTAACTCTTAAATGTGTCTCATGCCTGTCCCGGTACCTAATATATTATGACGCAAACTGTGCCGTGACTCCCCACTGCCTTTGCTAATAGATCATGGGTGCTGCTTCTGTCCATATTCATCAGGTTTCTCTCATCCCATCTGCCTGTTCCTTTCACTTTTCCCTATATGCATGTGTTAGCAGAACACAGGTATCCGATTGCAGCAGATCCACAGCCTTGACATACAAACATGTATTCCTCCACCTAGCCATACCCTTTGAAAAAAAAAGCGAAAGGCAAATTGAATGTAGAGATTAAGTATATGTTAAATTTTTCATTAGGCTTAGTTTTTCTGGACCTCTGGACATGTGAAATACTACTTTTTTCATGACATTCAACAATGCATGTAATGTGAATGTATGTTTATGCAAAGAGGCAAAAGAGAGGAAATTTTCCATGTGTGCATTTTATTAGCAATAATGACTTCAGTACAGGACATTTCCTGGGAATTAATGGCCAGTTGGGGTTAATGGCCCTTGGCTATGTATTGAGATATCTACTCCTCCAACTGGTCATTAATCGCTATGACATGCCCTGTGCCTCCAACACTATAAGTTAAGAAGATTGATGTTTTGGTTTTCAATGAACAGTAGTCATACTGTTCCTTGTAACCCAACTCATTAATATTGTTAAATAAGTTAAAAATCAAAGCACTGCTTTCCTTGCTACTGTGACATTCTGATAAGTACCTACACGTGCTGAAGCATATGCTAAGGGTGAGGGACAAAATAAAACACAAATCCTGAACCTGCTGGAACTTTTTATTTGACTTTAAATATTTTTCTACTATAAAACAGTCACTCTCTAAAATCTGCTGCTCCTGATTCTTTGTTTTTCTTCCCAACAATCTTTTGAATTCAATAGTTAATCTTTTAATTGAAATAATTTATGGTTTAAATGTATTGCCAACAACCTCCCCACTAATCTATTCATATTTTGCTATCTTCCATTGCCTGTCTGTGTGTGTGTTTGTCTGTGTACATTTTGTATATGCACACACGTGTGTGTCCTGCATCTGGGAAGAATTATAGAGAGAAGTAGGNGTTTGTCTGTGTACATTTTGTATACGCACACACGTGTGTGTCCTGCATCTGGGAAGAATTATAGAGAGAAGTAGGTGCGATTTAACCTCAAGTGGGTGGATTTAGTGAATTGCATAGGTTATACTGCATGCTACTGTCTGTAACAAGCTGGACCTGGAGCCAATTAACTGCATGTAATCTATTCCAGATGTTCACTGGGACAAACAGCACTCTTGGGGATCTTCAGATGTGGAGCCAATAGGGAGTGTTCTGATTATGAGAGATTTTTTACACTGTTCCACTAAATCAGAGATCCAAATGCATAATCTAACACTCAAAAAGGCCTTGTACCATTTTCCAAAAGAATGCAGAGTTCAGAACTTATTAGATGGATGGTAACTCGTCAAAAATATTATTTGAGGAGTAAGGGATAGATGATTTTATAAGTGAACTTCATAGATTTGCCTTCTTTAGTTATATCCATTTGTTCCAAAAGTCACTAAGGGAAGATAATGTATAATTATGGTGAAAAAATTGATTCTATACATAGGACATGAACTGAAATACACACTAAATCTTCACACATGAAAGCCTTAAACACTTAGATTTCAGTTCCTTTCTCAGGGGTGTGTGTGTGTGTGTGTGTGTGTGTGTGTGTGTAGGTAGGTAGGTAGGTATGGAAAGGAAGGAAAGTAACCCATGTGGGGGTTTTTGTGGGTTTTTTTAAATTTATACAGACATACTTGTTCTCCATACCTTTGTAGTGCACAAAGGGGAGGTCACTTGAGAACTTTTTTAAACTCAAGAGACACAAGTAGCCATGACCACCCCCAAATTAAAAGTGGAATCTCACTTTGGCCTAATTGTAGCTCATATTTTTTAGTTATTGTTTGATTAGATGGCCTTCCTGTAAGGTACACAAAATTGAATTATTAGTACCACTACTTCATGTCAAAAATACAGACAAGAAACCAAACAGAAATTAAAGAAACTTGAGAGCCAAAGAAACAATACAGGTAAACAAAAAGCTTTATGTTAGCAGAAGGCTATTTTATATTCCACTGATCAAGTGCAGTGTTATCAAAGAAAGCAAGTAGTATGTAGAAAGATCCACCAGGATAGAGCTTGGAATGCTAAGTTGGAATGTTAAAATATACACTTATTTTATCTCATGCTTTCTAAATGTCTTTCTTTATTTTCTAATATACATAATATCCTGCTACTTCATTGCAGTGAGGGGTAGGCAATCACTAATCAAGTGTACAATACTGTTACCAATGAGTAGAATTTGTAGGGCAGCAAATTTTGGTTGAAAAACTTTAAAGGTCCATTAATGGACTTCACTGTTTTCAGATGTTATGAATCCTTCATCAATTGATACATTCCCATAGAATCTGGAAGACCATCTGATTTTTCAGATATCATGTAAAAGACAATCTTTTTTAAAAATTAATATTTATTGTTGAAAGTATTACAGACACCCCCCTTTTTCTCACATTGATCCCCTCCACCCTGCATCCGACCCCTCCAGGCCTTCACCACACTATTGTCTGTGTCCTTGGGTAATGCATATAAATTCTTTGATTAATCTCTCTCCACCCACTTCCCCACCCCCCCTCCTTGCACTGAGATTCATCAGTCTGTTCCATGCTTCTATGTCTCTAGATCTATTTTGTTCCACAGTTTATTTTATTAGATTTCATATATGAATGAGATCACATAAAACTCAAGTAGGAAGAATCAGAAAACCTGAATAGACTAATAACAACTGATGAAATTGAAGCAGTAATAAAAAAACTCCCAGCAAACAAAGTCCATGGTCTGGACAGCTTCACAGAAGAGCTTTCTAATTCTTTAAGTTGTAGGATTAGATAGTTTATTAAAAGTTTTTCTTGCT